CTCAAATTAAAATTAATTAAAGATGCAGTCAATTCAATGGTCAGGCATGCGGCCGGCCGGCCGGCTTAATTATGTACTTGCACTCCCAAACAAACGAGACGACTAATTATGTGCTTGCTTAGGGTGTGTTTAGTTGGAGAAAAGAAAATTTTTAGGTGTTACATCGGACGTTTGACCGGATGTCGGAAGGGATTTTCGGACACGAATGAAAAAACTAATTTCAGAACTCGCCTGGAAACCGCGAGACAAATCTTTTGAGACTAATTAAGCCGTCATTAGCATATGTGGGTTACTGTAGCACTTATGGCTAATCACGGACTAATTAAGCTTAAAAGATTCGTCTCGCGATTTCCCCATAACTGTGCAATTAGTTTTTCTTTTTATCTATATTTAATGATTTATGCATATGTCCAAAGATTCGATGTGATGTTTTTTGGAAAAAATTTTGGGGAACTAAACGGGCCCTAAATTAACCCACTGACCACTCACAAATTGATCATATATATATGCTTCTGTCGATCATGTACTATTATTGTTACTAGTTTATTGTTGGTAATGACGACATGAACACAAGTTGACCTGGAGATGCATCTAGCTAATTGATAATTAAGCTTGGGCTCTACTGCTCTAGCTTTATAGGTGAGGGCAAGAAACTTGATGCCTGATGCTGGTGCTGGCCGCTGATTCGATCGACCGCAAACAGAAATTATGCAAGCGGCGACGCAATGCCACGTCCACTATTTTATTCAGTATTAACTACTAATTAATCCAGAGCTTTGCTTGTTTTTATGTGGTGTAGTGTTCTACTTGATTAATGCATTGCTTGTTACTAATTTCCACCAACATGATAGTTGAGCGTCGTCTGTAATTAGGGGGCGATCAAAATGATTGGTCTACTACTCTACTGTACAAGTGATGTGCCCATCAATACATATATATGTATGTAATGTTTATCCTTATCACCTTTTGAAGCTAGCTAATATATACTACCTTCACCCAAAATATATGACGTCATTAATTTTTTACATAACATTTGACTATTCATTTTATTTAAAAAATTAGTATAAATATGTAAAGGTACAAGAGTTAAAACTATAGTTTCTTTATGATAAAATAAGTTACAATAAAATAAATAATATTTGCATTCTTTAATAAAATAAATGGTCAAATATTATTAAAAAATTCAGCGTGTCACATTTTTTTGGGATTGATGCATGGAGTATATAAGTCATGGTGTCATATATATCCCTATCCTATTATACATGGACAGGATCACCAGAACTACTCTTTCAATTGAAGGTCCCATGAGCAAATAGGGTGTGTTAAGGGACTTGTGGAATTAGGACTCTGGTCATATATGTATCAATAGAACTTTCACCCCTGAGGCATTTCAGGGCTATCAACCGTACTGATTGGTTTGCTTCTTTCTTAATAATATTATTTTTGTTAATTATGGGCCAATATGGTCCATGTTATGATGCCATCCTTTGTTGTACATGTTGGAATATAGATATACTATATATAGATCTGGCTTATAAAAGATACCCTACAGTACAGCTAGTTTTTGTTAACACACAAGAGAATCTGCAGCCTATTATTAGACAAAAACTTTGATGCTGATTCGATCACAACCGCGGCGCCACATACATTTATTTTAGGTAGATGGAGCTTTCGTCGTCCTTGCATGTTTTATTGGCTGTCATGCTGCACCTAATCCATCAATCAATCAATCACTAATTAACTATAAATGTCAAAACTGCCTTCTTAGCCCCTCTCTGCTTCCTTCAATGGCAAGTGGGCCCGGGCTGCCAGACCACCTTGTTTCTCAAATGGGTAGGAGTGTAGCTATAAGTAGGTTCCCCAGCACGTGAGCTGGTGACTCATCTAATTGGGTCTTTGATTACATATAATGCAACTTGCAACTTCCTTTTATTAAATTCTCAAGTAGGATTAGTGTTAATTAATTGATCTTAGTTAATTAGTGCATGCATCACATATAAGTAGATGTCATGGATGATGCAAACATCTCTAGATCCCACCGTGGAATCTCCAACGCTCTTCCCATTTGCATAAAATCAAAACAGTAGTAGTGTTTAAGACAAGTGATTAGATTATTATTGACGGAATCAACCAGGTGTACCAGCAAGATTATTGGACGAATTGGAAATAGTATATTCCTTTTCCAATGAATTTCGTGGTAAAACCTTTGGAATCAACGTACACCGTTTAGTACCCAATTTGATTGGTTAAGTGAGGATGTATAAATATTTCTACATGGTATAAACTATTTTGAGATGTCAGTAGTAGTAGCTAGATAGTACAACAGTTTTGATTGTGTTATTGTAAAATCCATGTGCTATGTATATATGGTTCCTGTGCAGAGCACCCAATGATCTCTCATGCCAATTGTAATACTAGTAACTTAATTACTCACTCTGTGAAAAACGAAACTTCTACTTACGAATTTGGATACATGTTTTGCCAGACTCAAACACATAGGTTGATTTTTTTTCCAAGACATAAAAATTATTCTACGATATTTGTAGTGAGAGCTAGCTATATGCCTTCTAATCAAGAACAAAATATCTGTATCACAAAAAATACCCTCCAAAGAGAGAATAATAAATAACACATACCATCTTGTATAACTTAACCACGGTGGCAAGACAAAACAAATAATTTATAATTGCTCACTTTTGGAAGAAACAATAACATCATCAAACCAACATAGATAATTCAAGATCCCCTATTTCCATCTACGCAGAATTCAAAGATTCCAAAACAGCGGTACGGGTATGCGGCAAAAAAAAATTCTCCATATTTTTGTCAACCACATAACCCAATCGACAATAATGCGCAATAGACCAAAACCACACGCAAAACCGCAGCGTCAACCGGCCAGAGAAATAGAAAAAAAAATAGCCCAGACATCACATCATAATTAAAGTGATTACATCGATAGGACCATTTAAATAACCCAGAGATTACGACCCTAGTTTGACAAAACGGGACGAAAGAAAATGAATATACCGAGAACGGTGGCTCTTCGAAACCGCATAGGAATTAAAATCTATTGTCACGAGCCAAGGGGCGCAGCCATCGACCCCGTCGTCTCTCTCTCATGGCTAAACAAACATCCCTAGAGGCCAGCATGACAGCTTAGTGCTAATACGTGCTAGCTTTGGTAGTACAAAACTATAAGGAGAGTAGTGACAGTGACATAGCATAAACATATATGGGCACCGAATAATTAAATCTGCCGGAAAAAAAAATGTGCGAGTGGCCGTCGCCGTCAGGAAATTGCCATCATCCGTGACCCATCGTGCGGCTCATGCGCGCCGCGTCGGTCTCACCAAAGGGAGGAGACTTAAACTAAACCCGCGACTATTTCCACGGGAAGTGCTACCCTGTGTGAGGCTGACATGTGGGGTCCCAAAAGATTGACCCACGAAGTCTGTGTAAAAGCGCGTAGCAAATGGGTGAAGAGCAGGGTCGGAATCTCGAGCAGCCGCAGGTCGCCGCATCTGAACCTCTGGTTACTCCAGTTGGGCCGAGGTTTTGTCACTGAGATGTGGGGTCAACTATTCCGGATGGCCCACTGTCAGTGACTGTTAAGACAGAATCGACAGATGAAACAAAAAGAAAGGGAGGACTCGCAAATTTCTTCGCGCCACGCACGGTCGCCTAGCCACCGGTCACCGACACGTGGGGTCAACTCGTGGGGCCCACTCACGCGAGTCCTTACCCTACCTGCTGCTGCGTTTCGCCGCATCGGAACAGGTCAGCCACGTGGGGCCCCGCGCCAAAGGCGTGACGTGACGTCCTCCCGCCCCGCACCGCCACGTCAGCCGGATGCGGCGTTCCAGCGCCGCGAGGAGTCTCCACGTGCGCGCGGGGGTCGCCGGTCGCCGGGCCGGAGGAGCCACCACCAACCACCGTGATGAGCGCGCGCGGGGCCCACATCGCCATGGTCGAGTCGCCGCCGATCGTCAACGCAGGCTGCGTCGCATGGTGGTCCAGCAAGGTCACATGCATGCGTGGATGAATCTAGCCGTGAAACATGGCTGCGAATATGCGATAGGTGCTGCAAAAATTGTGCATGGTGCTGCCCATGTGAAACATGGAGATGCGAATCTCCTGTCAGGAAAATGAAATCCCGTCAAATTGTTTGAATGTGAAAAAAGCTTTTAAAGTAACCTCGAACTGTGTAATTAGAGAAAAAAACATAGTAGATGCTGGTCGTATCATCCGTTCTCTCTCCGAGCAGTATTGTATCACCCGTAAATAAAGTACGGAATATGTTTAATACTAGCTTTCGTAGAGAAAATTTCTCCGTCACAGTTTCGTCAAGACATTTTAAAGAATTATTCTACCTGCTGGCCACCTTGCCATAAACGAAAGTTGACCAAACTTTGAGTATATATTCATAAACAAATCACCACCATAATTAAATCAACGGAATCACAACTAATCAATGCTAGTGAGATCAGCGAGCCGTAAACCTATATACAACAAACAGATCCACGGCTCGGAATCTCCATGGCCTGTATTTACCACCAAGACTCCGGGACCCAGCAAGTGGGCCCCACCACATGACATCCCCGAACCCCCGGTCCCACCTGCATGCATGACATCCCCAAGGCCCGGGCCCACCACATGACACATCCAAAGCCACGTGGGCCCCACCTGCCAGGTGCGCGCCCTACATATTTTGACGGCTCAGATGCGGCCCAGGCCCACGCCAAAACAGCTGACGTCATCCATGACAAAATACAACCCCACGCCCCCCTACCCCACATCCGACCGCCCACACGTCCCCCCTGCCCCCTCCCGATGCGCGACACGTGTCAAACCCCTCCTCTCCGGTCAACCGCACCTCACCGGGCTGCCGCGCGGCCCAGCCCAGCAACTTGCACGTGCGTCACGGCGACGCCTCCTACCCCAACCAGTCGACACGTGTCCCCCCTCGCGCCCTCTATATATAGGCCCCCCCACGGCGGGGTAATGTTCCATTCCAAAACTTTCGAAAGCTTCCATTAGCGACTAATCCAGCCTTCGTTAAGGGTGATTAGAATTTGATTAATTTCAAGGCCTCAGATCGGAGATTGAATGGAGTGCGGTGGTGCGCTGCAGCTGCCGCCGGGGTTCAGGTTCCACCCGACGGACGACGAGCTGGTGATGTACTACCTGTGCCGCAAGTGCGGCGGCCTCCCCCTCGCCGCCCCGGTGATCGCCGAGGTGGACCTCTACAAGTTCAACCCATGGGATCTCCCCGGTAAGCAAGAGCAAAAGCAGATCGAATCGAATCGAGGAAATTGAAGTCGAATTCAAATTCAATTAATTGGGGATTTGGAATTGTTGCAGAGAGGGCGATGGGAGGGGAGAAGGAGTGGTACTTCTTCTCGCCGCGGGACCGGAAGTACCCGAACGGGCAGCGGCCGAACAGGGCGGCGGGGACGGGGTACTGGAAGGCGACGGGGGCGGACAAGCCGGTGGGGTCGCCGCGGGCGGTGGCGATCAAGAAGGCGCTCGTCTTCTACGCCGGGAAGCCGCCCAAGGGCGTCAAGACCAACTGGATCATGCACGAGTACCGCCTCGCCGACGTCGACCGCTCCGCCGCCGCCCGCAAGCTCTCCAAGTCCTCCCACAACGCCCTCAGGGTTAGTATTTACTTCTTTTAATTACTTACTTCTCCTAATCTAATCATCTCTTGCTTTCAATCATTTCTCCTCACCAACGAATTTACCCCCATTTTATTTTTTAAAATTCTACAAGGAAAAAAAACAGAAAAGAAATTGCCGTATACTGTATTTGTTCATATAGTGGTCTCAATCTAGAGAGCTCTAGGAAGATATGGGCAAATCAATCATCAGTAGAGGTTTGATAAAATGATTTTTATTTAAAATTTGAGAAAAGAATTTGAAAGGTGTGCCAAATTGGCAAGTTGCAGCACGCCTGAGTTGTCGCTTTCGTAGCATGGCTGTAGCCGCTAGGTATAGGCTCGGATGGCGTCATGGCTCACGCACGCGCAGATAGAGACAAGCCCGCGCCCAACCTTTATCGAATTTAACGTCACCTCGGAAAACGTAATCACACCGAATTTATTTACCAAAAACTTTTTACCACCACCACTCGCATGCATTCCACATCAATCTTGATCACTTTGCTAATAATTTCAGTTTTTTTTTTGGTTAATTTTTTTTTGCAGTTGGATGATTGGGTGTTGTGCCGAATCTACAACAAGAAGGGAGTGATCGAGAGGTACGACACGGTGGACGCCGGCGAGGACGTGAAGCCGGCGGCGGCGGCGGCGGCGGCGAAGGGTGGTCGCATCGGCGGCGGCGGCGGCGCGGCGGCGATGAAGGTGGAGCTCTCCGACTATGGGTTCTACGACCAGGAGCCGGAGTCGGAGATGCTGTGCTTCGACCGGTCGGGGTCGGCGGACCGCGACTCGATGCCGCGGCTGCACACCGACTCCAGCGGGTCGGAGCACGTGCTGTCGCCGTCGCCGTCGCCGGACGACTTCCCCGGCGGCGGCGACCACGACTACGCCGAGAGCCAGCCCAGCGGCGGATGCGGCGGGTGGCCCGGCGTCGACTGGGCCGCCGTCGGCGACGATGGCTTCGTCATCGACAGCTCCCTCTTCGAGCTGCCCTCGCCGGCGGCGTTCTCCCGCGCCGCCGGCGACGGCGCCGCCTTCGGCGACATGTTCACGTACCTGCAGAAGCCGTTCTAATTAACGGAACGTGACGCCTCTGCAAACGCTAATTAGCTCACTAACCACTGTCAGGTCGATCGTGTAATTCTTTTACCAGTCTAGGGTACAGCCAAAAAACCAAAAATTAACCGTGCTCGATCGATCGATCGATCCATGGATCGATGATCGCCTCCACCGGCAGATCAAAATCGAAGCAAAAAATCAGGGAGAATTCTTGGTACTTCCAGTACCTCTCGTCGACACCACGTGTCGGGTTTTCTGCACCGCGGATCCTCGCTGGCCGCATCGTAACGGCGAGCGAGGTTAAAAATAGTGGAGAATTCAAGAACACATCCCTGATTTTTGTTTCTGCCGGATGGGGAGTACCGTGAGCATGGTAGAAATGACTGGTAAAATTTTCGTTGATGATAGGTAGCCAGAGTCGATGTAACCAGTCGATTTTTTTTTTTTTTGGTTTTAGTTGACATGCCTTCCTGATAGATTCAGAACAAACAATAGAGAAGAGAGGAGAAAAAAACACAGAGGAGAAATTCAGAGACCAAAGTTCAAAGTTTTGGAATTTTCAGGGGCGCCAGCAGCTGATGGTATTGTCAGTCGTGTCTAGGTTCGTAGAGGAAATTAAAATGTAGAAGAACGGGTACTTCAGTTCACTTCAGGTTCGTTCGTGCCAAACAGGTCTCTGACACTTTAGTTAGGTTTTGATTTTTTTTTCTCTTTTTTTCTGGTTTTTTGTCGTTTGGTAATGTAATGTAAGGGTGATTGCGACATGGTATTTATGTGATTAGAGTCGCTTTCAGTTGGGTCTCTCGCGTGACCTGGAAAGCCAAATTTTGTAATGCAATTATCGGTAATAATAATAATAATAATAATAATAATAATAATAATAATAATAATAATAATAACAGTGCTGTAACTTGTAATTATAATACTGTTTCGATCTCTCTAGCCCTCTCACCAACTTGGGTGTAATTATTCATTGAGATTACAGGGGTTGGCTGGCACAAGTACAAGCTGGAAAACGAAAGGTGAGCTGCATCTTTGCAAGTGTGATGTGCCATACTGCCATGGCAAAGATATATATTGCAAGTGTTATTACAAAAAAACAGATAAGATTTGGCCATGCTGATGGTTGCCTGCACGAGCATGGCAAATGGTAGTTATTAATTAATAGCTAGTTTTGTTGCTTACTTTTTGCCTTTCTGGTAATTTGGGATTATGTGTTAAATCTGTTGGTGCTGGATCCATTTATGCAGCTGTTGGGATATGTCATGCATGCTACTATTGAACCATATTGATATAAAAAGGGCGTCATCGGCCATGACTTTGTGTTTATTTTTTCTGAAAAAGAAGTGGTGTGGTGACAGTTGTTTTTCTTATGGGTGTCATCAAGTGTCAAAAGTCATAACTCTGTGCCAATAACACAATTATCTGTAAGTAGTAGCTTCTTTCGGTAGTATGTATGTGACAGAAACTTGCTATGGCAAACAGCCAATCAAATCAATAATGTTAAAATGCAAATGTAGATTGTAGAGATAATTCAATTGTTGCAGTCTGATCAACTGATCACAACCCATTGATTCGGTAGTGTAGTATATTACTTTTACTGTTCAGCATTGCTGTCTATGACAGAACTGAAAAAAACTTTAGCAATATAAACTCTGGACCTAGAAATACTACTAGTTCAGGAAGTCAGATACTCCCTCTATTTCTAAATATTTGACACCGTTGACTTTTTAGCACATGTTTGATCGTTCGTCTTATTCAAAAAACTTTTGTGAAATATGTAAAACTATGTCTACATAAAAATATATTTAACAATAAATCAAATGATAGAAAAAGAATTAATAATTACTTTTTTTAATAAGACGAACAGTCAAACATGTTTAGAAAAGTCAACAGCGTCAAATATTTAGAAACGGAGGGAGTATTTAGCATGGCTTGCACCTGCAATCTTCAGAGCTCATTGATTTTGTTCGCCGTTTGGCATTGGCTGCTTGTTTATACATATACTTAGCCATGCAGTGCAATCTGTACAGGAAATTTTGTCTGAAAGCATCGATCAGAGTTTGACTCTTCGAGTGGATTTTGATCTGACAGTCACCATGACCCGGGTTTACATCGTAAGTATTGTTTGCGATCTGCTCTCCAGTCTTTCACAGCAAGACTTTAACCAGTTTCTTCTTTTTTTCTGAGTTGTTACAGGAGTTTTTGCTAATCTGTTTGCATGTTGTAAAATAGTATTACTTTGCTGATGAGAAGCTTTACTATTGCTTGATACAAAGTCGGCTAAATATCTCTGCTTACAAGAAACATCAAAAGCACCAGACAAGAAATCGATTAGGCATACTCCACCAAGTAAGTTGCAGGCTTTCATATATGTTCATCCAACATCACTGACTCAGCATCCTAGCTTTTGCTAGGTTTTCTTGAATTTTATAAACAGAAGGTGCACAAATGCAAGAATGCACCTGTAGTTATGACTTTATACACCACTACTTTTGAAAATGCAATTAGCACATGATGAACTCTATACTGATTATGCAGGAAGAAACAAATAACCACAGATTCAGACACCTATTTATGCGTTTAATCAATTTAGAAACCCGGTGTAAATCACATATGCTAAAATATTACTTCATTTCATTATTTATGGGCAGAAGCATACATGCTTTATCATTCATTTCTTTTCTAAGATATGAATGTCCCTTTCTGTTTCCATCTATCCTCCCTGTATTCTGGTTTTCAGTTCATTCAGAGACGCGAAGTGATCGCAGACTCAGAACGGGGAATTCTATCGCACTGATAATTGACCCATCCGAGCAGCGATCTCTCGCTGTCATATATGACCATCTGATCCAGCATTGTAATTCCTGTAGAACAGTAATCAATCGAAATGTTAATTACAAAGATTATGCATATGGTGGTGAGCATGTTTGAATGTCTGAACTTCATACCTCCAATTAAGTTTGTTCCAGCTAACGACAGATGCTCCTTCGATCCATCAAGGATGCCCAAGCACACATGGCCCTCTTGCTGCCACAAACACACAAAGGATGTTAGTTGTTGTTCCTTCAATGATTTGTTGTCCATTACTAGCTTGTATCGTAATTTGAGTTGTTGAATGCTTACAGAGATAATGAGGTAGTGCTCAGGTGGGATCTCCAAAGTGGCCTTCTTATCGCCATCGGCGAATTCCAGAGACAGTGATCTGAAGCACTTCTTGACTTCATCGATAGTTACGATTTTATCCTTCCCTTTCCAGCATACAGTAAGAGCCCGATCTTTTTCTGTCACCTCGGTAAGAAACTTACATTCGCTGTTGAGAGTGGATTTCACCTGCAAGTATGACATGACATGAGTTTCCCTGGATGTTCTCTGCTCAGATATATTGGCATACGAATATAAAAGGCAAGTGTGCATACCACTGAGAGAGTCGCTTGGTATGGCTGCGCAGCAAAGTAGGTGTATGTGGCACCACTGTCAAATATCACTGCCATTGGTGCCGCGCTTATCGCCTTGCTATTTGAATCGAAGTGCAAGGTTCCATGCCCAGGAGAGTAGTACTTATGTTCTCTGGAACAAAACACAATGCCATGTAAATATGTAATACCATGTCAAATTGACTTACAAAAGGATACTAAAAGCTCAATCATATCCATCTCTAACTTTGCGGGTTATCGTTACGTGAAGCCAACTTTGTCAAATAGTTTTCACCGACAAGCTCTTGACGGGCAACAGTGCCTACCTGTTCATGGGGGTCCAGGTTACACCTGAAGTTGGCACCTGGGCATCCCCAAAGAAGAGGAAACCCCCACCTTTTGAGCTGATGCAATGGCCCAAGACATGTTTGGTGATCACCCCCTGGGACTTGAGCTGCGAGAGCAGCGTAACCTTGCCTCTACTGAGCCCGAGGATGCTGTCTACCGGTATGGGCACATTGCGATTCTTCTTCCCCTGGTCGTACCCACAGCTACATGAGCAAGCAAGCAAGCAAGAGAGGGTAGTCAGTCATCACCGTCATCGCCGGTGTGTGTCACTATACTGACATATCATGCAAATGCATAATGTTTCGACTTGTGGTGGCTTACCCGAAGGCTATGGTAGTAGGATTGGTGCCGTTGCTTGCTGAGAGGGAGAACCTGTCGATGACGAGCACGCCCATGGATGAACTGTCGACGTACTGAATCACATAGTCACATTGCTTCTGGGATCCACATCTCTTGGGCTTGCCCAGATCAGTGTACAGGTCAGTGCAGAGTGAGTCGGCACAGGTCACCAGCTTCTTTGGGGTTGGCTTGTACAGCACGTGTGGTACCTGTGTTGATTAGAAAAGGTTGACAAAAAAAGAACTCATCAATAGATGCACTGAAACCAAAACGACATGGTTGCATTGAAGATTGCTCATTTTGGCCCTATTCTGAATGTGAGTAGAAGCGAATCAAGGACATGAATTCAAAGAGGTTTTCTATGCTTGATCTAAAAATATGGCACGTGAGTGTACAATGTTGCAATTCGTGCAGGGGGCGTCGCACTGCAGCCAGGTGAGGGTGCTGCCGGTGTCGATGTCCAGGAAGTAGGATTTTGCCGGGTCGCCGATGTTCATGGTGATGAAGAAATGGCTGCAGAGAACAACAAAAATGTCAAACATTGCACTGAACATTGGACACACAAAACGTTGATGGGTTCTCTGGAAAGAAGGTTTGCTTACCCAATAGGGTAGACGTTACCGTGGAGCTCCAACACCACGGCAGAGGATGGCGGCACCAGTTGGAGCAGGAGAAGAAGGCTGGCGAGCAGTGCCAACCTTGCAGTCATGGTGTGATGGAGGTGGAGCTCTTAGACACAAGTGCTGTGACAGCCTGAAGGGCTATACTTCTTTCTCTTTTGAAACTCTGTTCATTGGGATGGTTTGAGTGCAGAAGGGGATGTGAACTCGTGAAGTATTTATAGGCCTCGGCATGTCTTCTCTCTGTCTTGTGTACATTCTGTTTTTCCATTTCATTTTTATTATTTTGTTTTTAATTTTCGTAATTCTGGGTTCCAATATTGAATTTGTACTCTAGTGGCAAGACAGGGTGACAGGTGTTACCTTTCTGTTTGGAGTTTCGTGTATGATAGCTTCAGAATGTGGTACACCTCTATCATCATGCGTAACACCCCAGCTTCCATGGGTATTAGGATGCATTAGAACATCTGTACATAGATAAATTTACAATAAAAATCTTTTTAGCAAAACAGATATTAGCTGCGCATGTGATTCATAACAAACAGACTGCTAGTGATAGTGATCATTGAGACTAAGGTGGCTAACAAGACCAGGCTCGGTGAAATATGAACATGTTTTGATTTTCAGGCACTGTACAAAGCTAAGATAATCTTTGATTTTCTGTACATCTTTCTCTAGTTTGCAGTTACATTGCTCACACGAGTATTATGATTGACTTGTAAACAGGGAGTAAACATCTACTGGTAGTCGATTTTGAAAATTTGCAGAACAGAGATGCAGACTGAATTGGGATGTACTTAGTAGCAAATGATAATATTTTAGGATATGCATGCCAGTTGATACTTTCAAATGATATGACGAGGCAGCATTCTATAGACTAGTCAGCATTTTTTTTAGCTCCATATTTGGATTTGTCAACTTCAGAAAAGCCCAGCTCTTGTTCTTCTTAGCTATATATGATATCCATAACTGCTCTGTAACTGCCACATTTGTACACATTATTTTCTGCAGAATATTCTAATCAGTGTGAATAGCAATCTTTCATGTGTACATAAACAGTAAGCTCCATAGGGAGAAAGTGTCCGTTTCCAGTAATATAACTGCATCACAGAGAAAAAAATTCTACTTTAGTAATCTCATCGCTAATCATTCATGCTACAGCTAAAATAGTTGTCGTTTTTTCCTTCACATTTTTTTCTTCAAAAATATTATTTGCAATTCATGTATATCAATTTGTTGCGAAATTTATAGGAATGAGTCCTTGCCTTAATAGCTGATGAGAATAAAATTCGGTTTCAATCTCCATCAACCAACAAGTTTTTGGAAGTTGTCTCTGTGTCTTGTTACAGCTCTAGCAGGCTAGCACTTTTATCAGTGTGCGTGCTGTTAAAAATTCACAGATTTTTTGTAAGGGTCAATAACTGAGATTAGTAAATAATGGTTACTCATGATCATAGCTGGTAGGCATCTACTTAACTACAGCTCTTCTGTTATGTTATATCTATACTAGAAACAGACAAAACAATGTAGTTTGTGTAAACTGTCACCCATCATCTTATACTTATTTGTTTAATTGTTATTAATAATTTTAAGTGATCTTAGAACAATTAACAATATGATTATAAATTTATAATATCAAGGGAGGACCTGTGCTAAAGGTAAAGGTTGGTGTGTATGTTAAAACCAACTGCCAGATCTGGAATCCAAGTCTGTTGCATCCCAATGTACATAGAGGAAAACTAACTAGAGAAGCATATTGTTATTAAAAGGATAATATGCTAACTAGCTATAATTAGTTATGAGCTATCACAACACACAAGTTTGTTTCTAATACACGGTTACAGCAGAACAGACTTGCGTGCAACTTGGTAGAACTCTTGCATAAAGATTGAACAGAATGTAGCCCCACTTCCTTCAGAATCGGTAAGACCCTATATACTATCTTGACTTGATTTTGCTCATTTGGTATAGATCTTTCTTACATATATAAGACTGATCTCTATAGTGGTGAGAATTAGAGTAAACTGTTCACAAGGTTTTGTAAGTGGCATTTGACAAGATTGGACAATAGCTGTAAATCCGATGATCCAATCCTAGCTAGGACACATTAATTGACAGCATTTTTGTTCTGAAGATGTGATACCAGAAATAGCAATATCACAATAGTATCTACAACTTTCAATATACCTTGTATATCCATCTGTTTACACAGCAAAGCAAAGCCTTTTAAGTGATCATAATGGGCCTTTTAAGTTATCATAATAGAACCCATGACACGATGTGAATACGCGGTGAGAATTAATCCCAAATCTGAAAAGTTCAGAATGTGTAACAAATACCTTTGTGTTCGATCTGAAAATTCTCTATGAACCCAGTTAAATGCAGACTTCCAAGCGTGCATAAATTCATATAAATACTCCCTCGGTCCCTAAATATAGCAACCTTGTACTGGATGGGACACATCCTAGTACAACGAATGTGGACAGACCCAAGGTTACAGCAGAATCCACATTCGTTGTACTAGAATGTGTCCCATCCAGTACAAGGTTGCTATATTTTGAGACGGAGGGAGTACATGACAGTATACATGTCTCAAAAAATGAGCAGCGCCTCTAAGGTTTGCTCATACTTAACACGGAATCCGTTTCGTCTTGAAATGTTACTGAATCCTGTGCACAAGAATGTTACTGAAGTGTAGTACTTGACACTACCCACCCTTGAAACTAAGTATCATACATGCATTGTGAGTTTGTGACATTGTCTTGCAGGGTCACAAGGAAATTGAACAATTGTAGAACTGTACAAGGCTATCTCACAATATACCTGAATGTTCCACTTTGCAGCCGATTATGTCAGTACCAATACACAGCGGAGGTGCAAGGTACGAGCCCGTCGCCTGAGATGCTTCCCGCCGGGCTGCGGCTCCGACGACCTCCTCAGCGCTGGGTGCCTGGGTGGGTGCCTCTTGCGAGCCATCTGAAAGGAGGAATTGGGGAAAAAGGGTTAGGGTTTAGTTGAGCGAAGAAGAGCATAGATGAATGAATGTGGCCGCAGGTTCTCCTTGCTGCTCACCTGAAGAGTCATGTGGAAGGTGATATCTCGCCGGCGATCAGCGCCGCCGCCGCCGCGGGTTGCGCGTCTCCGGCGAAGTGGAGCTCGGAAGCGGCGGCGGCCATACAGATACTCTGCTCTGTTTTTCCAAGCGGCGGAAAGATCTGCACCGTGCAGCCTTGATCCGACGGTTGTAACTCGGCTCGCAAACCAAATACTAGTAATTACGTAAAGTTCAAGGGTCTCATGTGCAAATTATTCGTTTGACTGCATCAAACCGCACAAATGAGATCGGATGGTTCGTGACAGCCGGAATTTGGCTCGCAATCAATGCTAGCAATGCACACATTAGTTGGATGGCAAGTTCGCGACTACTCCATCCGTAAAAAAAAAAAAATACTTTATTTAAAATCATAGCTAGAATTTAAATTTATTTAAGACGGGAGGTGTATTGTCCACGATAAATGAAGCCTGGGCCTACATATAGATGGATGGCTCGATGGCCGTACATTTTTGGCTTAGCCCCCACCGGTCAGATACCCAAATTGTACCATCGCTATTTTCGCATTTATCTTTTATCTTTTGGACTATGGATTTATGATGGTATTCTTTCCACCTGCATGAGGATACACTAGGAAACTACTATTGGCAATACAAATCTTTAGAATGATTAATTTGATTGTATAGTTTGTTGTAAATGACAAACATGTCTGCTAAATGTGTCAATCATAACCATCATAATTCACTTCAATGTAACATTGGAGAGACGGGAGGTAATATGGAACCCGTCGTCTCATCATAAACAGTATAATATCATCATTTTGTAAAAATAAAAAAAAGGAGGAGAATATAGGTCAGTGACTTGTTACCAGGCTCTATTACATGCTCATCGATCCTTCGCTTCTTTTGTCTATTTATCCAGCCATATGTGTTTAAGAGTACAAGACTTTATTTGGATGGAAACAGATTAAATATTGGTAATAATCTTCAGTTACAACAGTATACAGCCATTTATTATACCAATGTGCTGAATAAAGATCATGGAAAGAAAGACATAACAGACTTAGTAGGGCTCCGACCGCATGATCCACGGATCCATCCAAGCTGTTCTCTCTCGTTATCATATATCACCATCTGATCCTGCATTGTAATGTCTACAAAACAAAAGAAGGTAAAAAATGCATTTGTCACACAAAGATGCATGTGATGGCTAAATTTCAGAAACTCTGGATGCTGATCTGAACTTAATTTGTACCTCCAATTATGTTGAAATTCAGTCTACATCCATGAAGGATGCCCAAGCACACATTCCCATATTCCTGGCACATATATGCATGTAAATTAGAGAAACCTTAACAATCATTTTCAGTAAAAAGAAGTGGATTTTGTTTCTAGTTAATCATCAATTGGGTTGTCGAAATACTTAAATCACTTACAGTGACAATGAGATAGTTTTCAGGAGGGATCTCCATGACAGCATTATTACCAAAGTTCAGCTGCAATGACTTGAACTCTTTCTTCACATCAAACACAGATTCGAATGCCTTCTGCCCTTTCCAGCACAGTGGAAGACTAGGATCTGAAACCTGTTCAAGTGAGGTGCTGCTGAGACCACCTTTGATCTGCAAGGTTATATTCACGTTTCATTAATTAATATTAGCCAATGTTTCCTTTGTCAAATTCATGACAGATTGAATGTATCAAGGTTGAAATTAATTTACCGCATAAACAGTTGCTTGGTATGGCTGCGCAGTGAAGTATGTATATGTACTTCCACTGTCAAATACCACATCCATCGGGTTCATGCCTAGTGAATGTCTATCGAAGTACAGTGTTGCTGAGCCAGGTGAGTAGTAATTCCTGAAAAAAAAATTAAGAACAGTAGTGTATAATTTGTTAAAACCAGATGAAAGGAAGTAAAGAAAAATATTACCGAAACCCTTATGCTATTTGCAAGAGACATTTTAAGGTACTCCATCTTACCTCTATTATATAGGACATTTGATAAATTCTAGCCATTGTTCATTTATGTCTTTTTAATTTCTAACTATAATATGTGTGCTCCTTCAAAATTAGTAAATCATTGAACATAAAACGAAAGAATATCAAATGATTATCATTCCTAGAGTTAAGCAAATAAGAGTCAATTTTAATTTGGAAAACAGTTGGTATGCATGTCAATTTGAAGGATATTCTTTTTAATATATACAACCAAGTATATATAGACATGGTTCAAATATTTGCGTTACTATTGTGTATTATATATGTGTTACTGGAAAACAAAATATTTTTTAAGCATTTGAAACAATGTTACTAGCACAATTTGGAGTATTGTATTCTAAATACGATTCAAATTTATATGCACAAATTGTCATGACACACATTATAATTCGAATCTATATATACAGAATATGTAAAATGTTATTTGCCTTATAAACGACAATTAATGCTTTTAGTACCACCTGGACATTTGTTGTTTATTTCTTTCTTTGTCATGTACAATTACCTCCCAAGTGGGTAAGAGTAACATTAACAATTTTATTAAGGTCAACTGGAGTGTATGGTCAAAAAAAACTTGGAACACTAAAAAAAATCTTATTTGAAAACTATTAATATTGAATTATACCAACTATATATTTTTTTAGATAATACCAACTATATATGTAAATATGATATAATCAATTGGTTAGCATGCCTTCAATCTAGCCAGTACACCTAGATTCACATTAACATTGGCTCATTGTATGAACCTGCAAGCACCCAAAATAGTGAAAGAAAGAATGGATTAATTCAGCAGGATAGCTTTACTTGGTGTTGATATTGCTATGGGACATAGGGACCCAAGTGACGCGTGAAGAAGCACCAAGTTGCCATCGCCGTCCCCGACGAAGAGGAGGCCCCCTCCTCCGGAGCTGAGGCAATGCCCAACCACATGCTTGGTGATGATCCCAAGCATCTTGAGCTGCGATACAAAACTCACCTTGCCCCTATCGAGCCCAAGAATGCCATTCACCGGCGATGTTTGCTGGAAGTTCTCTCCGATGCCCTGGTTGTACCCGCAGCTGCATGCACCATCAACCTTTCAGCTACGGAAATTTAAAAGTTTAACCGAATCTTGTTGCACCAATGCTTACCCAAAGGGAAGGTTGGGGCGGGTGGCGATCCTAGGCAAGGAGAACTGGTCAACGATGAGTGCACCGATAGTTGATGCCCCATCGGCGTACTTGATCTCATAGTCGCACTGCGTCGGTGACATATGGTTACCATCACCGGACCGACCGTCCTCATGTAGCGCAACATAGAGCGGGTCGTCGGCTCTCACCATGTTTTGCCCTTTTGGTTCATACAGATGGTTTGGCACCTTTTGTGTGTTTGTGACATGTAACAAGAACCACCATTATATTATGCATATCAAGATCAAAACCACACACATGAGTACATGACTAGCTAGCTAGCTAGGCATGTATGAATGAATGCACATTCATACATCTTATATGAACCACCTAACATAAAATGTGAACATAATTTTTCTCATACTTTCCACTAGGGCACACTAATAAATCCAAAATTTCAGAAATTTCGACCATCCTAATGGATTGGCAATTCTTTAACTAGCATTCTTTGCCAATAACTAGCTAATTCCATGATTTAATTAACTGCAAGGTTAGGCAGAGATTCTAGGCTAGGTAGCTACACAATGAGCTTACATCTTAAAAAGCTGCTACCTCCGTTTTTCACGTATATGATGCCATTAACTTTTTGATATATATTTGACCATTCGTCTTATTAATTATCTTGCAAATATAAAAAAAATTAAGTCATGCTTGAAAGACATTTGATGATAAATCAAGTCACAATAAAATAATACCTATAATTTTTTTAGTAAGACAAATTGTCAAATGTACTGTCGTATAGTATTAAAAACCGAAGCGAGTATATGGTGAGATTAAAAAGGAAAGATGCATTTTGGAGTGAGCAATAACGCAACGCATGCCTGGTGGCAGCTCTGGCAGGGAGCGTCGCACTCCACCCAGGTGAGGTCGCTGCCGGTGTCGATGTCCAGGAAGTAGGGCTTCTCCGGGACGCCGATGTTCATCGTCACGAAGAACCTCCTGCATGCAATAATTAATCCAAAAAATGCAGAGATTATCAACTAATTAAACAGCCAAAATTGTGAAATGTTTGCGCATGCATGCTGCAGAGCGTTTGGAGGAGGAGGAGGAGGTGGCCGTCTTGCTCTTGCCTACCCAGAAGGGTAGACGTTGCCGTGGAGCGGGAACACCATGGCGGCGGAGGATGCCGGCGGCGGCAGCAGCAGCGCCGGGAGCACGATCAGGAAGCCGGCGATCGGGGCCCACCTGGCAGCTGCCATGCCGGTATACGGACTAGCTAGCCAGCTAGTGTGACCTACTGAGTAATTGGTATGGTGAGAGAGAGAGAGAGAGAGAGAGAGAATGTGAAGCTTGTGTAGTGTGACTTGTGAGGGATTTTATAGGTGCTCAACCCAATTACTTCCTCCGTTTCACGTTATAAGATGTTTTAACTTTGGTCAAAGTCAAACTGCTTTAAGTTTGACCAAGTCTAGAAAAAAATAGTAATATTTTTTACCCAAGATAAATTTATTATAAAAATATATTTACTTATTAATTTAATAAAACTAATTTAGTGATGTAAATATTACCATATTTGACTATAAACTTAGTTAAATTTAAAGCAATTTGATTTTAACCAAAGTCACAACATCTTATAACCTGAAACGGAGGGGTACTGGCTAGCAGGCTGCAACTGGCAGGCGGCAGCACTAGCACACAATCCGGATGGGTTTGTGGTACGAAATGGCAGTGGGTTCTAAACGATATGTGTGTGGATTATTTTGTACCACATTTATATAAAAAACAATTTCTTTTAATACTTTTTATAGCTACATTTCTTATATAATTTTTACTAAGCTATTCGTCAGATATTTAATTCATTGTTATGAGCATTTTTTTATACTAGCATAATGCACGTGCATTGTAACGGGTCCTAATTATCTAATATATTATCATGATGCTAATTTTGCTGTCATTTCGTAAAGATGAAAATTTTCATAATATTTTTTTGTCATATTTTCCTTTCGATTGAATCTATGACATGTGGGGGCTAAGAG